CACACACACACACACACACACACACACACACACACACACACACACACACACACACACACACACACACTCTGTGTCAATGCTTGGCCATAGTGATTATCCTAGAGACTGTTTCCAAAATACTAAACTGAGGGTTTTTTTTAAAAATCCCTCTGTATTAAAATATAGAATATGAACATTTTCAGCTAGTTCTTGGAAGTATCAGGACACTTTCCAATCAGATTGTTGACAGGGAAACTAGATATATTTGCAGTAAGTAAACAGAGCATTCCCCCTAGAATGCTTCTCAAAAAGCAGCTTTAAAAGTTCTGGAGGCATGACAAAGTAATAGGCACACACTATACTTGGTTAATATGTACTAGAAATCGTTTAATAATGAAGAGTAATTTATCATGCAATTTATGCATATGTTGAAATGAAAAAAGATCTCCTTACCTCAAAGCTTTGTCTTCCCTCTTTCAAGAGAGCCAGAAGGGTAAATGTATTGAAAGAGAACTTGCAGGAGGGTTGGTGGCTAGTCACGAGTTGGCTAACTTCCTGCAACTGCTTGTTTATGACATTTCTATGGATAATGCAATTTCAATGGACATGTGCAACTATTGGCTAATCCAAACTAGAGGTGGGCAATAATTTTGGAAGGGGGGCTACTTCATAAATTTTGGAAGTGGCTGCAGGCCAACCTGGAAGAGGTGGGGCCTCAGGCAGAAGGGGCGGGGTTGAGAGCTAACCCACCAGGAACTTTGCTTGGCCTGCTCCCTAACTTCTTGTCAATGGAAGGGACCTGGAGCAGATGGGAGGGTGCTGGGGGCCAGCCTCTTCCCACAGTAGTCTGGGGTGGAGGCTTAGAATTCACATAACATGGCTGGCCGCTCCCGCTGCTAACCTGTTGCCTGGCAGCCGCCTGGCAGGCACAAGCCCTTTAATAAAAGCCATTGAAAGGGCTCACGCCTCCTGGGCAGTTCCCAGGCAACGGGCCAATGGGACCAAGAGCTGCGAGTCCTTTCAATTGCTTCTGTTTAAAGGGCTTGCGCCTGCCAGGTGACTGCCAGGCAATGCATCTGCCCAGCAAATGCGAGTCCTTTCAATAGAAGCAACTGAAAGGGCTCACCGCTAGTGCGTTGCAAGAGAGCCAGAGACACGTGAGCCCGTTCAACTGCTTCTATTTAAAGGGCTCGCGCCTTCCCCATGGATGCTACGCAAGGTGTGGGGAAGACACAAGCCCTTTAAATAGAAGCAGGTAAAAGGGTTTGTGCATCGCCGGCTCCCAGGCAACGCGCTAGAGCAGGGGTCAGCAACCTTTCAGAAGTGGCGTGCCGAGATGTGACTTATTCACCTCTTTGTACGGGTCCAAGTGCCACTGATACTTTATAGAGTCAAAAATAGTGGCATGTATGCCATAGGTTGCTGACCCCTGCATTAGGGGGTGGGGCCTGGAACTGCTTTGCAGGCTGGATCCGGCCCCGAGAGGCTTTTGCCACCCTGATCTAAACTGGCACTAGCAAAACTGGATAGTGAGTTGTCACGGCGGAATTGCCCAACCTGGCACTTCGAGTGTAGATATGAGGGCTGGCTAGCAGAATAAACTCTGTAAGAACCTGTCTCTCTAACTCCCAGAGACAAACTTGTCCGGTTTCAGTTTCCCTGAGACCCAAAAAGACAGACAAACTAGTTTTCTGCCACCATCAAGTGTATTTAAAAAAAAGCAAGCCCATTTCCAGGGAAGAGGTCACTTGAACCGCACTCCCTGAGGCAAAACTCTCCTCTCTACCCTAACCTCCGTTTTGCTTGGAGTTGGAAAACAAACGCAATCAGCAGAGAACAACGTGGTTCTGCTTCTCCCTGGTAACGTAGATTTAAGGACACAGACACGCAATATTGGTTAACTAAAACCAAAAGAAAACACTTTTATTATTAAAACAAGACTACTGTTGCAAGCATAGTAAATGACTGGGTGTTAAGAGCCATGGATTGAAATAGACTCAGGGAGAATCCCTGGGCTCTAATTCTTAGTTACAAAAGACAAAAACAATTAACCAGCTCAGACATGATTTCCAAACAAGGAAAACAATAAAACCTGATGGACTGTCTAAAGTTTTCCCTACTTAACACATTTCAAGGAGTCCGTTCCTGGGAGAGTCTGTCTCCCCTGCTACTTGGAGAAAAACTGCTCTGATCTGAAAACAAAGGAGGAGAGAAAAAAACCCTCTCTGTTTGAAATTCCTATCTTCATTTCATTGGCTGAATGCCCGAAGCCCCCTCCCTCAGGTGTATCTCCAGAATTGCTTAACCCTTTCCTCACTCTCCAGCTAAGTCAGACTCTTCTTAGCAGCTCCTATTCATGACAGGAGTTCTCCAGGCAAACCATGCATTGTGTAATGAGAAGTACTAGATGCCTCTCAAAAGGGATCATTTCACCCACTGGGTATTTTCGTTGCATCCTCAGGTTTTTTAATCACACACAATAGAAAGGACAAACTACACATACCTTCCTCACATACCAAGACACTGGAAATAGTAGCTTTAAAATCATTTATTGCATTTTGGAGGGAGAAATTATTTTTCACATTCAGCCACAGAACATAAGATCTGCTCAGAGTGCTGCTACACTGGGGTCCCTTCACTCTGCAGCGCCTGCTCCTTGGCGGCCCTTGCTTTTGCTTGCCATTCTCGCCTCTGCTTTAGCCTCTCTGGTGCTTTCCGTTTCTGTACCTCATTGAAAACCTGCAGGACAGAGGCATAGGGCATGGAGAGAAAGAAGACTGTGTAGCCTTGTTGAAAACCGTTCCAACATCAAGCTGGGGTCATGCAAGAACTTACGGGATTTAATAGATCATCCTTAACCTCAAGGTTTAGAAAGGATATTGCATGTCTCAGTGCAGCAACCCACACAGCTTAGTGTATTAGTTTTCAGGGTTTTTTGCTTCCATTCTCAGTTACACTAATGTAGATCGGGGTTCTCAACCTTTTTCTTGCTGAAGCCCCCCTTTGACATACTATAAAAACTCCAGGGTCTGGCTGGGGAAGAAGGCGGCAGGGGTGCTCTGGCTCCAGGCTGGGGGTGTACCCTTGGGCATAGACAGTTTTACATCCATTTTTGGGGGTGGGGGAAAGGGCTGGTGGGGCTCAAGCAAGCTCGGCATGGCAGAGTTCAGGGAGGGAGCACCACCTCCACCCCTCGTTCACTCAGGGGGTTACCTAGCCTGCCTGGACTAGGAGGGGGACACAACCAAAAATATATAACCCAAAGGGGGGAACCCATTCAAAAACTCTGAAAACCACTTAGGATGCAGTGGGGTAGCTAGGGGCTGCATGCAGGCAGGGGTAGCTGGGGGCTGTGTGGGTTGTGCGTGTCTCAGCTTCAACAGGAGGGACAGGGCATGCTGGAGCTCCAGGCTTCAGCCCTCCACTGCTCCTGGCTTGGGTGTGTGTGTGTGTGTGTGGGG